ATTAGAAGATGAAATGCGGTGAATATTGGAAATTCCCAAAATTTCTTTCATATCCGATTGACCATCGTGCCCAAAGTCTGTTTCCATCCGCAATAACTTCTCCTGTTTTTTAATTGACTTAATTTTATAATACTCAAATCTTATCACCATTCCAACGTTTATTACCTAAGCTTAACATATTTTACTTATTTCATATAAATATACTTTTATCATAACCAATCTGTTTTTATTTCAATACAAAGATACATTTTTATCTATCTATTTTTATAAATCTGGTGTCAAAAATGAAATTTAAATTCAGTAGAACAGAGTGCCTACTTGTAGTGATTGAGTCTGAATTTGTAAAAAAGTGAGTGCGATTTAGTAAAGCTATATTAAAAATTATTTAGAATATTTAATAAACAAAAATCGTTTTAAATGTTAAAAACATTCGGAACACGAACGTTCTTATCATAAATAACTGCAACAATTATAAGAAAGTTTTAAATTTTTTTCCATTTTAAAACAAACATTGCTTTCATCATTTGAAACGTGATATGAAATCTATTTGCAGAAAAATGATTAATTAAGTGCCAATTTGTTTAAAAATGTAATGAATATTTAAAGTTCGTTTTTCAATATCTAGAAAAAATTCGTTCAGTTAATGATAAGAGAGGATAAAGCTCTTCCTGCCTCACCTATTTTTGAAAATGACGATTTTAAATCAACAATCAAAAAAATTTCCGCAAATATTTGCCAGTCTTTCTGCTGCTGGTGGAGCCTTTGCAATAGGAGCTGCATTAGGATGGCCAGCACCGGCTGGACCTCAGTTAGTAGACCGCACTTTAGCAGAAGATGAACGCTTTTTCGAAATCACTCAAACTCAATTCGATTGGGCAGCCTCAATCATTACTATTGGTTGTGCAATATCTTGCTTGCCTATTGGAGTTATGATGAAAAAATTTGGAAGAAAAAGCACAATGTTAAGCCTAGTCGTTCCTTTCATGATTGGATGGGCGCTCGTTATTTGGGCACAAAATTTTGCGATGCTGATGGTTGGTCGAGTTTTCATTGGGTTAGCAGGTGGAGCGTTTTGTGTTGCAGCACCTCAATATTCGGCTGAGACTGCTCAGAAAGAAATTCGTGGAATTGTCGGCACTTTTTTTCAAGTTCTTATCAATTGCGGAATACTTTTTGTGTATATTGTTGGTGCGTTTGTCAGCGTCTTCTGGATGAGTGTCATTTGTGCAATCGTTCCAATTATTTTCGGTATTGTCTTTTTCTTCATGCCCGAATCGCCACTCTACTTAGTGATTGAAAAACGTGATAAAGAAGCAGTTCAATCATACAAATGGCTAAGAGGCTCACATTATGATCCATATGAAGAAATCGAAGAGATCAAAAATGAAATAGCAGAAAATGATAAAAACCAAATTTCTTTTTCCGAGGTTATCAGAAGGAAAGCCACAAAAAAGGCTTTATTTATTGGCTTCGGACTGATTATATTTCAACAGTTCAGTGGAATCAACGTCGTGATATTTTTTGCAACAAATATCTTTGAGGCAAGTTCAATATGATAAGTTTGAGAAAAGAATTTACTAATATTACGGAGGCTCCACCCTAGGGTGACGGGCCACCGTATTGGATTTACGCAAAAATTTCAAAAAAATTTCTTTGCTTAGTTACACTTAAAATGGCTTGAAACGTCGAGAAAAGTGGAAAAAAGCGAAAAAAAAATTTCTGTCCGCTTTCGGGTCTGTAGCTGTGTAAACACTGCCATTTCCACATTTCTTACCCGATTTAAAGAATTTCTTCACCAATGTGTTTTAAATACCAATAGAATTTTTCTATCAGATTATGGGGTTCGTACTTTAAGTATTTCGGGTACCTGCCATACAAAGCGGTTCCTTTTTC